GTAGTAGTAGGTAGTAGTAGGTTGTAGTAGTAGGTAGTAGTAGGTAGTAGTAGGTTGTAGTAGTAGGTAGTAGTAGTAGTAGTAGTAGTAGTAGTAGTAGTAGTAGTAATAGGTAGTAGTAGTAGTAGTAGTAGTAGTAGTAGTAGTAGTAGTAGGTAGTAGTAGTAGGTAGTAGTAGTAGCAGTAGTAGTAGTGCTAGCAGAAGAAAGATTTGACCTGGTTGTGGGTTTGGGTTAACTGGGGGGGGGGGCCTTCTAGTGACCAACCAAGTGACTCTGGTGGAAAAGAAGCCACAAATACTGCTTGAAAACGAGGCAAATTTCCGCGGCGTTGTGGGCTCGGATTAAGTAGGGGAGGTTTAATAAAATCGTGACTTTACGTTACCCTAGAGGCTTCTGCGGCTCTTCATGTTGTTCCGATCACAGGAAGCTCGAAAACTTCGAAAACCTCAGTTCCTTCCTCACATGGCTCCATCTTCCAGTGCTCTGCAGCACTCTTCACCGCTGGAGGTTCAAAGGGCTTCCGCGTGCGGCAGCTTCCGCGTGCACGGCACCGACGAGGCTCCGTCGAAGTGGCTGTGGAGTTGCGCCAGGTCTCAACATGAGTGTGGCCAACTCTGGATCAAAGAAATGGTGGTTGCCATTCTCTTAAAATCCGCAATGATGGCACCGTATTGGCATCATGTTTTTTAATTTGAATGTTTGATTTTTATTTTGCAAGTACATGATCATAATATCACAATGACAGTTAGATCGTCATGTAAAACCCTTGGATTTCCTGTTTACATTGTTTGTGAGTAAGGTGCCCATAAACCCCAGCCAAGTGAGAAGGGCATCCTCTCGTTGGCCCCGCCGGCGCCAGGTGAGGACCCACTTCGTGCTGCCCAGCAGCTTCCGTTTCTCCGACAAAGGTTGGACCACTGCCGGCGGCGCCCAGCGGATGGACGAAAAGAAACCACTGTCTGTGACCTTCCTAGGGGGATGTTCGGATCAGCATCCTTCCTTATCCAATCCTCGAAGCCTGTGCGGGTCCGATTCCTTTTGGGGTCAAAAAGATCGGTGGGGTAAAAAAGATCGGTGGGTCCAAGGTCGAGTTCCCGGCCACCTCCAGGCTCGCGGGGTGACGCGGTGTCCGCATGTGCGGAAGGGAGGGAAGGCTTCCCAATAAACCCGGAACTTTCAAGGACCCATTCTACCCATTTTACTCCACTTGGAAGTCATAATCCGCTATTACCATAGGGATCCATAGGGTAAAATGAGTCAGGACTGGACTCGCAAGGACATATGGCACTCAAACTGTTTGAGGGAGGGCAGCTGCAATACCATTTCAGCCACATTTTTTAGCATTGTCGACCACGACCAAACATCTCCAATATGCGTGTATTTATATGTTTTTGTTACATATATATATATTATATACACATACATTTATAATATAGAGAGAGAGGGAGGGAGAGAGAGAGAGAGAGAGGGAGAGATAGGCAGAGATAGGCGATTTTCACCCGGGTTTGGGCTTCACAGGATGTAATTAGTACGTCAGTCTGTGAGGATGTAAAGTGGCCTGTAAGCCACATGTTTCAACAGACTGTGGCTTCTGCAGACCTTGACTCCCATCGCTGTTTCTCAGAAAGCTCCCAAAGCACGGCTCATCAAACCCAAACCACCCATGCTCGACCAAGCCATTCGGTGCTCGACCGTTCGCCTCGTTCAGCTCGGTGCGCTTCAGCATGCCAGAGCTCTGGGTGAAGCATAGGTGGGCACCCCCGACGGCCGAGTCAGGCGTTGGGTGATCATAGGTGGACGCGACTTACATGGGACAGCCATATTTGCATACATGGGGGTGGTTGAAAAGGGGTCAATGTAGTCAATAATATATTCCATATATACTATTCAATATTCTATATATACTATTCCATATAATGTAGTCAATATATTCAATAATACATAGAGGTTTTGTGGTTACTATATTGTGGTTTTGGTGTGTCGTGTGCAGTTGGGTGGGTCGCGGGTCGCGGGTCGCGGTGCGACACGTGGTGGGAACTTGGTCGGAACTGGCGTGCTGAACATCCAAGCCAGGTAATGAGTAGTCCAAGTGTTGATGGACAGAGTCCTTTGAAAGCCAGCTGACCTAGGTCTAGCTGACCTAGGTATGGCGAAAGAATTGGATGGTTCGGGGCCCTGATTGGTGAAGATCCCAGGGTTGATGGATCAACCCTCATTGACCATCAAGATGCAGTGGTTTCAGATGGTTTCAGAGCAGAAGGAACCAACAGAGCTCGGAGCTCTGGAACTTCGCACATACAGCAGCTTCAACCCGCACATGTCTTTAGACTCTTTTATAGATGGGGGTCCATATAAACCACCTCTTGGGGTCTGTGCTGTTTGCTCGCAATCGATTTATATCAAGATCAAGATCAGTGTTACGGTACTTCAAAATAATAGTAACTTTATGTAACTTTGTACTTGCTGCACTTGCTATTCACACTATTCACTCTCCCTCGATTCTTCAGTAGCCAACGAAATCACGTCCACCCCGATTCTCCCTGGCCTGTTTTTGCGCCACAAAAAAGGGAATATTTGAATATATTTGATATAGTAGGATGTTGTTTTACATATGTGGGATGCACCCAAATAATTTAGGTGGCGGTAGATATTTTTTCAATGGTTTTCGTTTCCCTTATTGCACCTCCCGGACCTGGCCACACCGAGCCGCTCCGACTTGGCCGCTGCCCGCTGCCCTCAGCTCTCATCGACTGGGAGCTGGCTCGACCTACGAATGGCACGGCCAGACAGCCCAAGTGGAACGCCCTTCCCGGAACGAGCCTGGTGTGCAGTGAAACGAAAAACCCAAGCCCGTCCAAGGGAGGGGTTTCTAGTCTCGGCAAGTGAGTGGATAAAGGGTACCGGGTGGAGGGGGGCTGGCATATGGGTGACACACATGCACACGCAGGTACACTCCGACGAACACATGCAACATGGAAATAGGATTCAGCTCCTTTGTTTTAAAGGAAAATCGTTTTCCAAGGGACCATTCATTAGAGTGCATTTCAATAACGGAGACCTCCAACCAATGGATTTTAGTCTATTTCCTTTCTTCCAGGGGTTCGTTGGGAGGTCTCCCCCAAACTTTGAATGCACACCCATTTGCCACTTCCATGTTGTGACGGCCTTCGTGTTCCAAACGCTTGGAGGTCCTGCCACGTTCTCCGACAACTTGGGGAACCAGGCGTCGTGTCGTCGTTTTGCGCCGCGGTGACGTTTTGGGATGTGCCCAGTTTGGGGTCGTGGGTGAAATTGTTGGTGGGGGAAGGTCAGAATTTCTGGTTATTTCTGAGAAAACTCAGACCAACCATGAAGAATTGTGGATTGAAGTTCTGAAGGGTCAGGATGTGTTGATCATTTGCTGCTGCTGCTGCTGCGGCTGCTGCTGCTTCAAAGGTTTGGAAGATGAATTCTGCACCTTTTGGTGTTTGGAGAGGCTGGAAGAACCATAGATGAAACATACCATCCGGCAATTTTTCTTGCACGGCAAGCCGCCTCTTCTGCCAGTGCCAGCTGAGCTTTGGCCACTTTGAGAAGGGCCGGGGCGTCCCGCAGGCCCGTCCCGCCGTGCCGGGCACCGTTCACGGGCGCCGGGCGTTCCAGCGGTCGGACCTGCGTGAGTTACGCGTATCTCGTGTATCTCCGTTTTGGTGCGGGTGGAGAGGTATTTGCGGCCAAGGCTTGACAAGAGTTCATTGGAAAGATGCGTTTTCTGTAGCATCCATGAGAGGTCAAGTGACATTATAGGACCCCACTGGGGTACCTATGGTATATATGGTCATTCAACCTCTGTAGCATTCTCAGATGTTTTCAGGGAAGATCTGGCAGTTGGATGCTCGACGTGGCAGGAGGACATCAAGGGTGTGCTGAGAGATGCCCGAGGGGCAGAGGCTTGCGGGGTCTTCTTGAGCCTGGATGGGTTTGCCAAGAAACATGATGGAGACGGTGGAATTTCTGGAAAACCAGGCCTGGAGATGTAAAACCAGGCCTCGAGCGATCAGTGAGGTCGACACGGAGAGGGGGGATTATCCTCTCACTTGGGGGACTCAAAACCTCATTTTTTGGAACTGCTGCCGAGCGAAATCCCTAGGAGGTGCCCCCTTGCTCGATCCAAATGCCTGGTTCAGAGATGACCCGATCACTGGTTCCGTCGATGACGGTTGTGCGCCCGTCATAGGGGACATCGCTGACAAAAAACCCTCTAAGGGGCTATGATGAGACACCTTTTAGGGATCCTGGGGGGCCCTGGTGATGGATCTTGTTTGTGTTTTTGTTCTTTTTCTTCCCGGATGAAGATGCGTTCCCCCTATTTTTTGGCCCACACCATCTGAAGTGGAGCTGAAGATGGCTGAATGGTTTTGACCCGTTTTCAGCTGAGGGGCATAGAAGTCTAGGTCTGAGTCTGGGCTTGAGGAATACTATTCTTTTTCCTCCATGACTCTTGTATGGCCATGGTGCTTGGTCGGCCAAGTTTCGGCGATCCAGCAATCCAGCCGCCTGAGCCTCAATCCATCTCCAAGTCTTAGCGTCCGATCCAGGTTGGTCGTATCCATGGCAGCTGGCTTGGGCCCTTGCTGTGCGATGGCGAGGCGGATCCTTCTTCCAGGAGTAGGTAGCCTTCTTGGTCCTGACACGTCGGGGTCCATCATGAGGTTTCATGTTGAGGTGTCATAAAGATGTCAGGGTGAGTCAACCCCCTGGGGTAATCCTGGCTGAAGAGGCGGTCAATCAATTGAAGGATGTTGACATATATACTATATACGATACTGTACATGTGCCTTATATATAGGGTCTCTGTCCTATTACCTGTAACGGTCGGCAAACAATTACAAATATGTTGGAGAAAGGCCTGTACTGCTACTACCACCGCCACTACTACCACTACTACCATACTAGTACCACTACTGCTGCTGCTGCGACTGCTACTGAGGGTGATAGACCCAACTTATCTCTTTCGGGTCAGACACAAAATCTGTGGATTCTCAAGGCAGCCCCATCTTGGAGCAAAGACCAGATGTGAGGCATCACCGGAGATGTGATTCAACACGATTTGTTCAGTGCCACGTCTTGGCTTATAAACAGTAGTTAGCAAATATAACAGCTTCCGCGAAAGCCGGCAGGTCCTCTGGAAGGGACCCTAGTTGACGTCCGTGGCCGACAAGTGCGACGAGGTGAGCTCCGCCCGGCGCCACGAGACGCGGAAGCCGCGACCGAAGCCGCACCGCGCGGATCGCGTCGCGCGTGGTTGGCACCGTTCCGCACGGCAGTGAAGAAGAATTTCCTGCAGCTGGCGCCCTCTCCTTGCGCCCCAACTAAGAGGTGCAGGAGCAAAGATTCGGGCGCATGCGACGGCCACCGTACTTCCTGATGTGGGGCGTGGCTTTGAGGGCACAGTGCGGAACATGGCATGCTCATGACCAGATTCATACATCATCGGTGGGCGTCACTTGTTTGACTTATCAGGTCTGAAGCTCTGAAATAAAGGTATCTCAACTGAGCTCGAATGAGATCAAACATCGGATTTGGAGATGAGATCAAACATATCGTGCCCACAAAACCGTGCCGTGCCCACCAAAACTGAGCCGTGTCCAGACGTCAGCTCAAGGACTTGGGGGTGCAGGTGGAAAAGGGACGTGGCTATGGGCTGCATTCGAAGGAGCATTATGGCTCTGGCTATGGCTATGCCACGGCTATGCCGTGAACGTAGTCAAGGATGAACGCCTCCGAAACTTTCAATGGAAGAAGTGACCAACACACCTGTTCCATCCAACATGAAAAATCTGCCGTGGAAGACTCAAAGGTAGGGAGTGCATATATTTTGAGGGTGACCAGGCGGAGGGATCAGTCATAGAATCATTGGCTCTGTTGAGCCAGTGGGGTCATGGCGCAATGCCAACGCTGTGAGAGAGTGCAGGTTTGGGATGTTTGGGAGGGTCACAAGATGTGGAGATTGGGTGAGTATTATAATAAACGATTTTAAAAGAGGTGGGCCTTTTAGGCAACGACCTCCTGGAGGAAAGGAACAGACCCGTCTACCCAGCCAGGGCTAAGGGGAGGGGGCCTCCTGATGAACATGGCCCCGAATTCGGACGACCATTTTCGTCAACTTACCATCGTGGTCTTCCGCAAAAGCATGGATGGTTCGAGGGAGTGCATCTCTATCTCCTGCAAGTTGAAATCAATTGACAATCATCCGTCGCCATGCCCAGCTCGGCTGGCTCCAGTGAGGGGGCGACATGGGGCGACACACAGCGTTTTTGTTGATCTTTTATACATAGAAGTAAAGGACGTTCCCTTTTCTATCCTTGTCGGCCACGTCAGACTATCCAACAGAGGTTGAAGAACCCTATAGGCTATCCCAGTTCGGTACCCTGGTAGGGTCCTACTTCAGGTCACTTAACCTCTGTTGGATTGTAAGGTCTTTGGACACACCCACTTCACACGACCAACGCTTCGATCCCGGGCGTCGGTGTTCCCGGTGTCGCCCATGGCGAGGGCGTCTTGGACCGGACACGACCGGCGACGACCGGCGGAATGCGCGGCGGTGTCTTCCCGCACGAGGCGTCCAACACGGGGCATTCCAACTGATGTATCCCAGACACGACCCGTCTGGGACTGCCATGACGGACTGCCGCCCCATTGGCCCCGCAAACCACCCCAATGTAGGCATATATGGCAGTCCCATTAGTCGTGTCTGGGTATTCTACGGAACCTACAAACCCCAGCAGGTGGGGTTTGGGTGAAACTGTGATCACAGACCGGTCGGGACTCTGATTCCCTATTGGTCCAGCCGACCGTTGACTCGGTGATGCCACCAGCTTGGGCGTTGAGGGTGTTCTTGATGGGGTCGGGCCAGGCACCGCTGATGTTCGGAACGCATGTTCCGACACATCGCTGGTGTCGGGCCAAGTCGTAGCCGGTCGTAGCATCGGAAAAGTTGGACTTGCGTAACGACCTCCTGGAAGAAAGGAAAATGGACCAGTCGACCCACCCGGGGCCAGGCAGTCTCCTGATGAACATGCATATCAAACACCAGGCATGTCATGAGAGGGCGTTCCGGACCGCAGCCATTTGGACTCCACCATCCCCGCGCCCCACGCGAATCGCTCGCACACTCCCGTGCCCATCCTTTGCTCGCCATGGCCATCCCAATGCGCGCAATGAAGGCGATGAAGGCCCAGGGGCTTGGAGGTGGTTGGGGATTCGTTCCATTCACGACGAATGGAAGTGACATATTGGCCCACCGAACGGGGTTGGTTTCATGTGTCCTCTATATGGAGTGTGGCCGGGGATAGTCCTTGGTTGGTTTGGATGGGTGCGCCGGCCGTAGCGGGCCCGGCCAACGAGGAGGGCGGGGAGTGCTGCGGCAGAATTGCTGGCATAGCCTGAGAATATATGTATGTTTGGTATATCTGGGTGATGGGTGTGCATGCCAATTGGGAGACCTCCCAGGCAACGACCCCCTGGAAGAAGGACAATAGACAATGCACCCTCTAGACTCTAGAAATGACAATGACAAAGAGGAAAGACCCCCAAGAGTTTGGTTTTGAGCCAGCAGAATGGCCCACCTTCGGCCAGACATGTCAGGGCTTACTAAGAACCTGTGCTGGTAGGGGAAGATTCGGCAGGATCGACCTCATTTTCCCTGGGCTTGGCCTTTTTGCACCCGACTCCTTGATTCCCTGGGCCATACCTGGGCCATGTGGCGACCTCCGGTGGCGCCGGTCTGCGCCATGGGGAGTCGACTCGAACGGCCGTGGGTGTCCTGCCTGGGAGATGCATAGACCAGTCAACCCGGGGGAGGCGGGTGTTCTCTGCATTGAAATTTGCAGATTCATTTTGGGGAAGCGTTCAGCCGAGCAGCATGTTGGAGACGAACGGCAGGCCATGAAGGCGATGAAGGCCATGAAAGCGATGAAGGCAGAGGATTTTGTTCTTTTTTTTTGAAGGCTTCAGCTTGCCTGTTGGTATACACACACAGAATTACGGATTTATAAAACATTATAAAACTATATATTTGTGTGTGTATTACATATTCAGCACCAGTTTGTATAGATAGTCCCTTGTACCCTTTATTCTCTTTGTTGAAAGCTGTGAACTTTTTGAAAGAGAATTGCCCTGGGCGTCGTTTCTATAATTTATATAGGAACTCACCGTGGGAGCCTCCACCTTGTTATTGAGGTATGCCAAATGTCATGTGCAGGCTTGGCTGCTGGGCTATGTATAGGGCATGAGGTATAGATGAGGTGTGTTATTCTGCAGAACTGGAAGAACTGCTCTTTCTTTGGTCCCTCCAGATTCTTCCACCAAAGCCAATTCGGAGGCCATGAAAGCGATGAAGGCCATGAAGGCGATGAAGGCACGGGGTTGCTGCAGGACAAATTCGTTCGTCGATTCTTGGCGTCTTTCTGCGCCAAGAAGTCCTGGGCATCAACCACACGTGAGCCAGATTCAGATTAAGAACTGATGGGTACGAGGGTAGAGTGTGCTTTCATGCGATACTCACGTCATTGTGGACGGTAGGTGCCCTGATGTGTGCAGTACCTCTCAAGCAGCGTCAACGGTCAAGCGACGGGAGAACCAGACGCCATGTATGCCATATATGCCTACATTGACCCCCCAAAACCACCCCCAATGTATGCAAATATGCCAGTCCCATGGAGCGTCTGGGTATACTAGACTCTTTTCTTTCATGTGGGATGCTACCGAACATGACCACAAAGAATGATCACACCAGACCAATAATTCACACTGACGCTTCATCACCTCCCACCTCCCGTCTTGTTGGGGCGCGCGGATGTCGGCGCTCGGCCGTTGCTCCGCGGTTCCGCTCCGCGCGGAGGCCATGAAAGTGAGCAAGATCGCCAAGGGCGCTCACGCGCGCTACTCGGTCTTTGCGGGAGGCAAGGAGAAGACCTACACCGGCCTGAAGAAGTCGGACCTGATGTGCCTGGGCGGCCAAAGTGGCGGAACAAGGAGGTAACACCGGTAGTTTGGAGACCGGCTTTTTGGAAGTGGAGGTGTTTTTCCAGCGGCCAGAGCGATCAAAGGCGTGTGTAAGGCAACGAAGCCCTGGAAGAAGGAACATAGACCCCAAACCCCTTGGTTGGGGATCTCCCCATTGAAATACACACCCGAATGCATAGGCTCTCTGGCCACCAGCGTCCGATCTGTCCACCGGCCGTGCGAGGGTCCAAACGGAAAGTCCGCGGTCTGATGACGTAGTTTCGGCCGGCATTTTGTTGATGCAAAAAGGGGTGGAAGACAAGGGGTTTGAGGCCAAAGGTATCAAGATGCAATATGATGGAATCGTTTTCCATCACGACATGGGGCAATTTTTGAAAGGCTCTAATCTAGGAAATCTAGCAAAACAGAAGGAACTCCCTCAAGGTTGTTGAAAAGCACGTTCAAATCTTAAGTAGGTGTTGTTGACTCGGGTCCGAGCACACCATGCACACTTAGATATCTCAACTGGATGAGCACAAGGGCTGAAGCTGGATCACAAGTCACTACCTAGCTCTTGACTTGAAGATCTTGAAGGAACGGCAAGAATGTGGGGTCAGTCGAACTGAAAGGTTTAACACTTGCACTAACAGTTTACAGAAGATTGGGGTGAACAGCTTCGGCAACAGGCAGGTACACAGTCAGATGTCTCTGACTGCTTCCCATGACTTCACTAGCTTCGTTGGCCAGCGTCGTGATGCCATGCGCTGGCCCCTGCTGATCGAATTAGATGAAAATTCTCTTGGGAACAGAGGGCGACACACACCCACAGGAAGACACAGGGGTTTTGAGCGACCTAAACTAGTCCTCAGGATGCAGAGGCCCATCAACAGGGATAGATCTTTCACCCATTTCCGACCAGAGGAGACCTGTTGTGCAGAGGCAACACTTACAGGTATTTTAGGATTTGGGTGTTTCTTTGTTGGCCTTTCACTCTACAACCTCAGGAAGGGGAAATGCAGAGGCATGAGGGCGATTTCAACAACTTTGCATGTTGACGTGTTCGTAGATGCTTCTGGGCTGGTCCATGAACCACAGATGTGTCTCCCAAAGGGACTCTTGTTTTGCCCTCTACTCTCACCCCGCTGGAAGAGCTGAATGTAGGAGAACATCCCCAGCTTCATCGCGTGATGCACCC